CTACGACGAAGGTTTTTAGCTTATAGTGTTAAATAATTTAAATATTATTTCCACAGAAACGGACACCTTTCGTTGTAATTACAAAAAATATTAGTTTTTATAACGTCAACCAACGATTTCTATTGAGAAATTTTATTAGAACCTATCTAGTCATATAACATAGATCTGGATCGCAATGTTTTATAAAGATCAAAGAAATGAATAGAATAGCACCAATCAAAGTATTGAGGAGATTTTAGAACTGACTGTCACTGAGATCGGCTGAAAGATAACGTTATGGCTCCATTCTAAAATTGTGCTCATGAAAACACGCAGTTTTGCCGCCGAGCGCATCGATGCTATGATAAGGAGGCATAAATAAATAATTAGACGGAGAAGGGGGAGAGAGGGGAATGCGAGGGGCGAGAGGGGGGGTATTCGGATAGTTCTTAGATAGTATCTCAAGCAACCGCGCTTTGTGTCAAACGTCAGATTGTTATCTATAAGATGTTTACAGATGTACCGGAGGGGGAACGAACCTAAACTCTTGTGGACGCAATCGACCGGTACACAAGTATGGTACATATCCGACTTAATTACCTGTGTTGTGAGAATTATTAGTTTAGAAATTCATGTCATATATACGGATTAGGAACGCTCGATTATTGAAGTTTAAATATGAAAGGTATTTTTTTAAAATTATATTGTAATATCAGTGTTAGCGATTGTACTTCATAGACACCTGAATGCACGACAATTTGTGAACATCAGTAGATCAAAGACGATACGACGCTGCCAGATCTTTGACTATCTAAACTCATCGCGAACATTTGTAGATGAATCTTCATATAAATATATCTACATCTAGCTAAATATTACTAAGCTTTAATATATTTTAAATTAAGAATGTATATTTTAAGCAAATAAAATTTTAAAAAAAATCAGTACTGGCATATAATATTGTTTTCGTTCTTAATTTGAAAGTATCGTTCGGTCTCGTTTTAATTTTTAAAAAACAAAAGTCTCAACTGATAATATAAAGCCAATCTGTTTGAATGACACGCCACGGTCAATTATATAAGATTGTAATGAATATAATTAGATAATCTCTCAATGCTATCTCAAATTATGTGATTAATTAAAGAAATTACTTTCTATATTTAAATACAAATTAACAATTTCGTTTAATTATATTCCTTTGGTGTTCTTATAAACAAAAACGATCCAGTTTCCCAAATTTATTTCAAAGACAATAAATCAACTGAGAATCGCTCGCTAAACAGAATGGAGGCTCATGAATTAAAACATGCTATTTAGCGCTACACAACGTGCCCTCCGCACGGAAAACGGTTTTATTTAACAATAGCATCTACGAAAACTAACCTTAAGATAATGTCGAAAAGTCCAAATTGCATTCGAAATTTTTCGGCGCCCTACAACATTTATACTTCGCGCGCCAGTTCTACGCAAACGCATTTCCGGCCGAACGCTGCCGGGAAAAAGCCATTTAAAACAAAAAAAGAAAAAAAAATGGTAACGTGCCGCGCGCCGTGCTCGGACACTTCCGGTGGGCGCCATTTTTTCTGTATTGCCAACAGATAAAATCTTTCCGGCCTACTGCACAAACGCCTACTTTTATTATTTTATTTTATAATAACGATTTCATTTTCACCAAACATATACAACAAATGTTATTTTAAACAAGCCAACACCAACAATGGCTGTCGGTAGAGGTCGTGTATGTAAAATGTAGCTGTAATTAAACAGCTGGCGACGTAATTAGGAGTGAACGATATTTTGCAAAGCTACAAAATTCAACGGCCGAATCTATGTAAATGCGATCGCTGTTCAATGTTGAATATTCAAATTGATGTCATTATAACATTCGCCCAAAACGTACCGGCCGTTTGGCGGCAAGCCAGTTGCATGTGTAATATAATGTAATGAGTAAATTAAAACATCTTTTTATCTTTTTCCGCTAGTCAAGCTCTGATTTACTCACCACAATTAACAACGAGATTCAAACTACGCGCACACAACAATTAAAAACACATGACAGGGCGTGAATATGAGAAAATAATTTTTGAAATAAGAACTCTAGTCATCTAATACAACAAAAAATAAAGATTTACTTTATATCTATAACCCTGCATTTAAATCTAATGCAAAAGAAAAACAGGAGAAAAAACGGTGACTGTCAGATTCCCTCGGATGTTGGCTGAACAAAACAGCACTTTAGACGAAGTAAAAAAAAAAAAAAGAGAGCGTTCTCAATTCAAAAATTGAATTGATCGCCCCATTGTATTCGAAATGTATCATTTGAGCTGTTATTATGGGCGCTCTCTCTAGCTTCAATACAAGTAATCCAATACTTTTGTATGGGAGGCACTTAACTTAACGTCTAGTTATGAAACGGCTGATGTGTTTAGAACTTCATTTGTTTGGTAGTTTATAGTTAAACGCATAAGGATGGGTTTGATGCTGGCTAACGATACTTGTTACTTACGGAGCAATTTGTACAATGCTGTTAAGTTTATTATGTTCGTTTTGTGTACATTTAACTTGCATTACGGCCATTTATATTGAAACAATGAACTATCGCGTGATAAAAAATATATAATATATGTTTGTGCTAAAGAGAATAGAAATTAATTAAATTGTCCAAACCACAAAAACCTAATAGGCAATAAGTTTGAGGAAGTACCGAATAAACGAGCGCGATAAATTAAATAAACATATTTATAAAAAGCCACCGACGGTTGCCTTTTTATAACAAATGGAAAACCTTAAACAACAATAATATTTAAACGATATTGGCTCGTATTACTGAACTATTTAGGAATATATTCGTCCGCACACATTATTAACAGCTGACTTTGCGTTTGTATTATGACGAGACTAACCCACGCACCTACGTTAATCCTATTATCAGATTATTGTGGTTGCCCAAATAAATAATTTATTTTCCATTGCATTCAATTGAAACCCATTGGTATTAAATGTATAATTTAAATTGATCCCATACAACATAAGTTGAGCAAAATAATGAATAAAATGCAACCAAAATCTCAATAATATACGTAATAAATCTCGATGTATAGTTTATATTTTTATATCAGTCAGTGGTGGCCTAGTGGTTAAAGGGCCCGTCTCTCGTTACCGAGGGCGCGGATTCGATCCTGGCCCGGGCAAGTACCAATGTGATTTTTCCGAATCATATGTACTTTCTAAGAGTATTTAGACATCACTGATTAATGTTGATTCCCAAAAGAGGGTTGATGTCAGGCAGGCGGCCGGTCGTAAAAACAAATAGCCAAAACTATTCACAACATGTAAGGCAGACCCTGGCTATAGCTGGGATATTGCCAGGTAGAAGAAGTTTATATTTTTATATGTTGTGAGCAGCGTGTATTAAAAGTCATCATTTATTTCATCACAATCAGGTTTCCCATATCAATCAAATCTACAAACAAGCTATGTATCAAAGGGCCAATAAAATGTTTTTTATTAAAAACAATAATACGTAAGGATTGAATGAGCTTGATCGTTTTGAAACTGTATAATGTAACAGCGGTCTCTATTGTACGGCCTTAAGAGGTGTGTTTTGAGTAAACACTCATGCTTTAAGTATTGTACTACGATATATTGATATTGATATTTTATAAATTAAACTTCATATAAAAAAAACTATATTATTGATTATAATTTTAATTAATAGCTATAGTTTTTAATTTTTTATAGTTTTCTGAATAATTCTTTATTTTTTCATGTCAGTAGTATATATGTATCTATAGCTATGTTAAAGTATCAAGATTACTCCGTCGTGGTGTAAGCGGGTGACGTGGTCGGCACAGAATCACAATAGACCCGTGCTTTATTGTATGAATTGCGTTTTTTGAGTGAAATCGATCACGAACTTGCCTCCAGCCTAACATTATACTGTATTTATTTACGCATTGTTACTAAATGTCCTTTTATATATAGATTTTTTTCTAACATGTCGATACTTTTGGACTGAGCGTCCGAAAACCGATATACGTAATATATAACATAAAATAAATATATCTGAATGTTAATGCAAAATAAATAAATATTTTAATATTTAAACTCGACATCATTGAAGAATCAACTGGTTTTATTGAAACTAAATTCAAACGTTTTTGCTTATGATTGATAAATGTCTATCAAAGGCCAAGAGGCCAATGTTTACGAGATTTTATAAATATGTATGAGAAGGCGTTCCCAACTTGACGTAGCTACTGGTTCGTTTCTGTATTGTGCAGTCGTCATTATAACTCCGCTTCTGAAGTAGCTATGACGCTCTTTTAGGATAATTAGGCCAAACAATATATACTTCGATGTTATAAAGTATAAGTTACAACAAAAAAAAAACTCAAGTATTCAAGGGTCGCATTCACTGTTAATTGTTGTCATTGTAGCTTTATTCCGTTAGTTCTTTTAAATGTTACTGCATAGGGCTTTCATACCGGGGTACAGAGAGTCGTGAGAATTGAGAATATGTATACATTCTATACCATTCATATAATATTGAGTACTGTTTTAGAATTCATTTAAGACTTCCGTCCAGACAAGGGAAACTTGAAGTGATATTGCTCCTAACATTCTTAAGTGTATTGAGTATTTTCGTGGGTTTTTTAAGTATTATATCTAAAATGTAATATTATATTTATATGAAGCAATGTCATCAGCCTAAATCGTTTTATCTTGACACAATTGTTGTATTATGACACATTACACTGCAGGGCGCTTTATAAACTCGAGACTCATTCAGGGATTTTGTGCCCTTGGGACGTAAAGGGATTGTTCTGGGTGGTTATTTCTGATTTAACCAAAATTCAGTAATGATTAAGATCTATATCTGTTAGATAGAGTATTTCTTTTACATGTAGGTAGTTTAAAGGTTATTTTATAAGGACAAAAATGATGTTGCCATTGTCTGGCTATTCTGCGTAAATTCTCTTATATATCATGTTATGTATATTATATAAAGTAATACTCACGTTATGTAGTTTGTAATATAGTCCACAAGCGTTGCAGACAGGCTCTCCGTTTTGGTTTCGTCTCCACAAAGTCGTGGTTGTGGTTTTGCAATTGGCGCAGGATGTACCAGCGCGACGAGCAGCACTCTGTAGCGACTGCAAATATGTTGGGATTTAGAATGAAGAAACTTTTAACATAAATAACAACAAGACAGAATTATACATAAAATTAATAAAAAAATAATCATGTTTTTTTTCTGTATAAAAAGTTTAGTTATTTAGAAACGAACATTAGTTTAAAATTTGTAATGTTAATTAGTTATCAAACACCTTAATTAAAACTCATTAACATAATCAATTAACGCAACCTACGCTATAAAAGTAGAAAGCGTATGTATTAATATTGATTAATTACATATTGGACACATGTTATCTGTCGCTCGCAAATTTACAGTTCCATTAAAATTTAAAAAAAACAATAGCTTGCGACGACAGCGGGTCGCACAAACTGACAAAAATGAACATTTGAAACGAGTCAAAAAGTTAAGTCTTACGCACCTGCCCATTAACACACGTCAATCAAACAAAAAATATATATATGCCCCGTTTATAGAGTCCACAGGAATGCCTCACTCAATTAAAAATGCATTCGTCCTAAACCGAACGGAATATGAATAAAAAGTGACGTAAAATCCTACTCATATTGTAACCATTAATTTGTCATGTCATTTATTGAATTTAATGTATTGAGATAGTTTTATAGAGAGTCACATTCGAAACGACATACCGGCTCGTTTCTTCGGTGACTAGAATCAATGGAACCGAGATTATGGTGACCGCAGCTTATTGATTGATTGATAGTTTGTTTAAAACCACCAACAACTAAAGCCAAATATTATATGAAAAATTTTCTTAAATATTACTTATTGTTAAATTTTATTAAAATCGTAGCAGTTACTTCATCTCTTCGCGTCACTTAAGCTGGGTAGGTATTCAAATAGCAAAATTTTAAAATATTTTCAAATATTTGCTTTGTCATCATATTTTTGTTACAAAATGTGATAAGAGTTTACAATATCAAACGAGCTATCGAAAATCTTGTTTTACTTTGAACAAGTATAATAATTTATTTTTTATTCTATGAGTCAATTACGCGAAACGATTTCATAATCTGCCGATAAGGATTCCTAATCAGGCTATAACTTGAGCTATAGCTCAGAATCATGCCAGTCTCTGGGGAAAATGTCGATTATGGAGGGGTACCTACTACCTACTAAGCCGATTACAGAAGTCAAATGATGGGCGGGGGTGCTTTTATATTCACTAAGAAACGGTTTGGCTACAACAAAATTATATCACCTTCCCACAAACTTGAAAAAAATATGGCCAGATATTTTAACCCCAATATATCTTATGTATATGAGAAAGCGTCATTAAAAATCCCTAAATTCCAGTGGAACTAAATAAAATCTCAAGCACGCGGACACTTGTTCCCATCACCAAAGAGTTTTATTAATTGTTAAACCCATTTCACTGTCAACAGCATTCCAACGCGACCAGTATAGCGCTGGCTCCCAGAAATAACGATCAAAACAAAAGATACGCCGACAAAGATAAAAAGCTATACAAACAAATAGTACAAAATTCAGTACATATCGTCATGACAGTACTTTAATTTTCAGTCTAGTGTAAACTCAAAGGAGCGCTCGCTATGACAAAATCAGGGCTTCTTTTGTGTCGTGACACAAACAAAAACGATCTCTATTGTTGTCTGTATGGACTGAATTCAACGATTATAATAGCTATAATATTGTGCTTAGAAGTGGACAGTTTAAGCAAATTCTAAATCCTGTATTTATTTTTTTATACACACGACATCAAAATATACGACGGTCGTATTTTTTCTACACGTACACAAAATGAAACAGTTCCATTTCTAGTTAACTATTATTGTAATTAAACATTACAATAGTATAGTAACTTTATTGTAATCAAACGCACCAAACGGATTAGTGCCACTTCAAGTGCTGCGCGTCGCTAATTCAATAAGCTACCCACATTAAAACATATTTCTATACGCCACCCTCCTCGTTCCTAGCGATCCAATCAGCCTTATCTCCCCGACCCTACTGCAAACACCTCCTAATCAAATCAAATCACAGCCTCCGTCTTCCCTAATCTATCTACCTATCTACACTCAAACATAAAATTATATTACAAAAAGGGATGGTTTAGGCAACCCCTCATATATTTGCAAACACAGGCAAAATTTAACACATCGGAAGCTTTCCTGTAATACACTCATATAACATCGTGGTTGGAAAATACTAACCTACACGTACACACACACACACAGACTAACATCGTTTTGTAAAATGATGCACACATAGGCCCCTATCAGTATATCTACGTCATCTAGATCCCACTATGAGAACCCCCAAGAGGGAGGCAATCCATTTACCGAAGAGCTTTCACCGGTCCAATTTCTCTCTTATGTTAATGATCACAGAGATGACAATAGCCTGGCAAGAATGCTGTTTTTAAAGGTTTACACGGCCCCTCAGTGAAAGCGCGGAATCGATGTAGCCTTTACCCCTCGCCCCGCACCAGTTTTTCCGGCGTTCCGTCCTTATCAGACTACAGCGATTAGATAAAGAGAGATAGAGCGTGAAAATAAAGATTTTCATCGTGTTCACTCACACAAAGCTAGCCCCCGCTATACACTGTTGCCTTAGTTAGTACATTTCTGTGCTTTGTAGGTATCAAGGGTTTTGAATTTAAATAATTGTTCAATAATTCATATTCTATAAACGTAACAGTCAAATTTGTTTCAATAATTGTGTTTGAATAAAGACGTTATATTTATGACAGCAAAAGTCATTTCTTAATGGTGACAAATATCTATATATTATATTCTTATTGTTCCTACAACACAACTGAGTGTGTACTTGAAATTATCTTTATTATTTAAACGTACATTCTCTTTCAATATCTTAATATATATTATCTTAAAGCAGAAACTATTTAAGGAGACTAGACTCTTACTGCAAAGGAACTGCGAAATTTTACTTATAATCATTTCTATTGCTATAAAGAGTTTAAATTAAAAGTTTAAATGTTAGTTATCTAATGTCTGGTAGTCTTATTTTATATTAATTTCCTAGAGAGCGTCAATAATGACTAGCCAGACGGTTGGTATTCGATAAAAGTATAGATCGAATTCATAAATCCGTTAGTATAACAAAGCGATGCGGTTGCCCAATAGGAGCTATCACGATACGGATCGAATTCGGATTGACATATCAAACCCAACGCAAGATTACATCGAGTACAACGTAATAGACGCCCGCTTCAAACTGAAAATACCGCGGCATTATGACAAACGTATATATATTGTATATATAAAAAACCATAACTCCCAATACGCTGTATTCTTTTTATTAAATGTAGATAGTACCTACTATTTCCACATTTCATTCAAAGAATGTATATAATAAAACTTCGTCATAGGATTACTTTGTTCATAGCAATCCAACGTAGACTGAAGCATTCATTGCTATAATTTTTTATTACACTAAGTAATAGCTTAACGATGCTTATTATATAAAAAAATATATATGAACCAGCACCATAATTAGTTCGGTCAGACGTTGATGGATAGTGGCACAACGCAAAGTAAATACAAATAAAGTGCTCCGCGAAGATACCCATGTGATAGTTGAATGCAAACATGTAATTGTTTTAGATGCTCCGAAGATAAAATATGAAGCATTTGAAGAATTTATAAATTGACTTCTCTGTGAATGAAATACAGTTGCTCGAATCCACATCTATATAAATTTAAACGTTTTTGTACAGTTTTTTTTTGTTACATTTTTCATAGTCAGTTGTTAATATTTAGCGTTAAAAATGTTTAAATTATTTTTTATAAATCAGTCCTTGTTTTAAACTACAAATACAATTTTTATATACCTAAACGATGTTACCAATATCAGATTTAAATGAATAAAAACTAGCCCAGAAAGACCAATTATTCATACAAAGATGAATTCCATAAAGTACGAAAAAAAAAACAAAATAATTTTCCAGAGGCGACTAAACGTTGGTAATTCAGCGTTGAATCGCTTCTCGTTATATGTGAATTTGCATTGAATGGCACAGAACAGTGCAGGCGTTTCAAATTAGATACAAAACAAGGCTGCTACGTACTCTGTGTTTATTCTTGCAAGGACTTAAATATGGTTCCATTAATCTGTAAAACACTGTGTTCTCTGTGTCACTAGTTGGAAAACTGTTATCATACACAAGACTAGTATGAAGGCTATTAATTGTCGAATGACATAATTGTATTAGATCTTATTTATTATTCAATATTGTCTGGGTTAATTAATATAAACTTTACATAAATAAAATTTATCGTTAAATTATGTTAAATCTGTTCCGCGACTGGACTATTTATTAGTTTATTTGTATATTTCTCAGTTATTCTTTTACTAAAAAGGTACATAAAGTAAATTAAATTACAATTATACTGAAAGCCAAAAAGGTATATCAAAAAAAAGAAAAATATTCGATGCAAAGCTTAAAATATATTAATTTTGTTAAAACTATCTTTGAAAAAAATTGAAAGTAAGTAGGTAAATAATAATCACTCAATAGTTGATACAAGAAAAGTTACATGACGCAATAATGGTCGATTAATCAAACAAAACAGGTGCAAATATATTGAAGTCCCGAAGAAAGTGAGGGAAGTCGTAAATACAAGCAGCTGGCTTTAGTGAACAACTATTTCATTTATTTACATCGAAATTGGAATTTAATGTGGTCTAAATATGAACTGATGTAATTTATGTAATGAGTTTCCCCCCTTTCTACTTGTAAATTAAGTTTTTATACTTATTCTGTCAGTGCTAAATAGGTGAATATATAAAACATGTTTTGGTATGTTAACCAACAAACATAAGACTGTAATTATGATGTAGATTTACGATTCATAGTGTGAATGAGATTGGTTTGGGTCGTAGGTTAAATTCGCATAGTTTATAAGCGCGTCATGTTTGTAATAAGTGCGCACGCGCAGCCGCCGCAGTCCTCTCCCGCGCCGCAACGTCGTCTATAAATCAAAATTTTAAATCACCGATAGGCGTGGCACACTG